AGTTACGAAGAACATTCCCCAACACCGAAGAGAACGCGCCGAAGCCTTGTTCAAGCGAAGGTTCGAGACGCCAACGAGAGCGTCGTTAGCTTTGTCGAAAATGTTCTTCGACTGGGCAACCGCGCGGATCCTGAGGCCCCCGTAGAAAAGAAGCTGAAGGTCTTAATGCGGGATGTGAAATAAAACATCTTCGAGAGCCTCGTGTAGAGCCCGCCTACTACCATCGAAGGTTTCATAATTGAGGCCACCAACATCGAACCTGCCCTTCAAGCACGGGCCTTACACTACCAGAAACCTCCCGGCTTCGCTTCCCTCTCGCCGTCCAGCTGCAACATCCAAAACATCCACGAGATCATCCGGGAGCAAATTTGGGAGATCCTGCCTGCTGCCCACCAGCCTGCTTCGCTGTCGATAGCCGAAGTTGTCCGCGAGGAAGTTCAACGGGCATTCAAATTTAAGGCTTCTACTAGCGTAGCAGCACCCGATGAGCCCTCTCTGACCTACGCGGCAGTAGCTCGAAGACTGGCGCCAGCTGCCTGGCAGAACTTCACGCCGCCGCGACGTCACCCAGAGCCGAAGGGTTTTTGAAGCCGGGAAGGGCAGCCCCAGCTCGTCCGTACTGAACAAACGGAGCCTAAGAAGACGGATGTGTGGCGCGCGGCCGATCGACGCCCGCTTTGCTAACACAGCGGTGAAGCGGACCACATCTACCGTCGATGATCCTACCGCCAACTGGGCCTACGGCGGTTAATTTGGGCCCCACGGCTCTCAACCACATCTTGGAGAGCGGCCTCGGAATATCGAGGACTGCCTTCGCCGCTCACCTCCTGAGTCGTCTCTCCGCTAGGCATTCCGTTCACCGTCTTCCTTACGCTCGCCATGGCCCTTCCGCCGGTCTCGCCGAGACAGCCTGTCACCCATCGCTTTCCGTCGGGAAATCTAGGCGCGGCAATGCCGGGAGGTGGTGTCGCCGAAGAAGAACGATGCCAAGATCCACCAAGATCGTCGAAGTTCTCCCACTCTAGCGCCGCAACGCCCCAATACGATGTTTGCGCAACTGTGCCGAATAACCTCAACGTTATGATAGGCGCCCACGACGCGACGGCACTCGTCGACACCGGAGCAGACTACTGCGTTATGAGTGGGAGGCTCTCCCAACACCTTCAGACAGTGACGACACCGTGAGACGGTCCGAAGATACGGACGGCCGGTAAACACCTGCACACACCAGTCGGGGTTTGCACTCCCGTCTTCCATCTCATACTCAATTTACGTAGACGATCTTCAAATTTCGTGTTCCTCTCGTAACAGTTTCACCTGTGAACGCCAGCTTCAGTTAGCTCTAAATAAAGTTGCTAGTTTGGCCGACGGAAATGATTTTAGGTTTTCCCCGGAGAAAACGGTTTGTGTGCCGTTTTCCTTGCCCTGTAAGCTACCTTTGATTACAGACCTCGAACTGAAAGCCATGCGGTTGCCTGTTAAAGGGATTGTCCGGTCGAAACCGGAAGTACTTACGTTTTCGCGCTCGATAAGTCGAGGGAGTCTTCAATTCGACAAACAACATTTTTATTTTTATATATGATCTCCCGCTATTAACTAAACCTTTCAAGAGCGTATGTACGAAACTGCACCCCGAATTTCGCCAGTGTGTATGGCTGACATCCGTAGCCGCTGCGTGACGTCACAAAACGCAAAGGTTTGTCGGATGGTCGGGATAACAAGCGTTGGTCGATGGATGTCTTGTGTTTTGTTTCAAATTGTGTAGTCTCCTAGGCCAGTGGTTCTCAAATGGGGGTCCTTGAAGCTCTGCCACATCAGTCAAGTCCAACAATAAAAGTTCTTTTTTGTTTAGGTCGAAAATAAATGTTTTAGTTTTCGGGCGAGTTTTTCGCGTGAACGTCAATAAGAGAGGTCTACTTCACGCTAGCCCTTAGTTATATCCATTTATTAAATGATTATTATATTTAACCTAGACCTTTTCTCTCCTCTCACCACGAACGGGGTCCTCCATCATCTCCGCCGATCCACAAGGGGTCCGCGAAACATCGATGGTTTAGATTCACTCTCCTAGGCTGTACCCTACTGAAATAAAGTTCTTTTCTTGCAGTTTCCAAGTGTGTGCAAAAAAAAAGTCACGCCTTTTAGCAGGATATTACTCGAAAACAGCCATAAGCTTCGAGTCAATGTATGCCGTTTCGTGCAAGCACAACTGCGACGGCCACCGAACGAATCAGGAGCGCTTGCAAAGCAAAGGATGCAGATTTCGCCTCTGAAGCGGCAACTAGGTACACGAAGCAGTATCTGGGTACACATGATGGCGCTTCCACTGGATCGGTGATGAGGCTGCGGGTCTTTCCCTCAGAGGCGATGACCGCGGGTCGAAGGCAACCGGCGAATCGTTTAAATGCATGTCGTCACTTGACTTGGACGAGCTCGGTGAATCGCAGCCACGCTCTATTTGCACATGCGGGTCAAACAGAATTTGACTGCACGCGTGCTAAATACAACTTATGGTATTGTTTCCAAGTGGTCTAGCTGTTGGTTTCGGTTTCGCTGCATAAACAAAATGATTGATCCGATCTGGGCAAGGAGTGTATGGACGTAGTTTAATATCGTTGGCACGGCAACACACCTCAGCTTACGAACCTTCTGTCCGCTGAACTCGGCTCGTAGCTCTATTCTGTGAGATGATTGCTGCATAAGCGGGATCTTGATCTTGACGGGAACCCAGTCCCTACGCGCGGCGACGATCCATTTTGCTAGTCACTGCACGCCTCGCGTAAAAGTGTGGAAGGTCATGTCTTGGCTCGCATGTGCTGCCCAGTGGTTGTGGCACCCAATCGGGCAACAAAAATCTCACCCAACCACGAAACAAGTCGAGCACGTCAACAAAAACGAAGCACGATGAAGCATTCACTTGCAGGTAAACGACAAGACTAACGAAACAGAAATACTCGCTTTGTGTTGTGCGACGTCGGAGCTCCAATGTTGCCACAGAAAGCACCGTTTACGCTAGAGTGCGATTGGAGCAGTATAAATTAAATTACTCATGCAGAGGGTCTTACAAAATTCAGATATTGCGCGTACGATGCGTCTCGATGCAATAACAATGAAATTCAATTGTTTTCTCAAATACAAAACTTGACCCCACAATCCCTTTAAAGATGAGCGCAAATTTGTGGGTTTGATCCTTGATAAGAAGTTTACTTTTTTTTTCACTTGAAGTGTTTTAGGAAAAATGCCTTAAAAGTATGAAGCTGTTAAAGGCCGTGGCTAAGAAGACTTGGTGATCAGATAGATGTCTCCTGCGCCTATAGAATTCTCTTGTGTGATTCCGTCTTGACTAGGTTGCTATAGTGTATGAAACAGCACGGCAATCGGCTCTGAAACTGTTACATCCAGTGCACCATCTTGGATTACGACTCGCCACTGGTTGTTTCCGTACAACCCCCATTCTGAGTTTATGTGACGAGTCCAACAAGTTTTCGTTGGATAAAAGACCCCAATATCCAAGTATGGCTTATGGCTACAAAATCTTGGCTAACCCTCGCCATCCAACGTAAGATTCCATAAAACGTCCAAGGTTATCTCGCGCTTTGTATCAGCCTGCCGGCGAGAAATGTCAGCCTGAAACACATCGTTTCGAACTCGCGTTTTGCACGGAAACACAATAGAAACAATTTAGCGCCATCATCAAAAAACGGCAGCACAAAATATTTATGGCTGTTTTCGTCACAAATCAAACACCGTCTTGGAAGTGGATTTTTTTTTGTAATATTCTTTGAGCATTCTTATTACAAAATAGAGGTCAAACGGCAAACTTAGCGGATCATTTTTTTTTTGTTCTAGTTTTTGGCCATTGAAGGTGCCCTAGCGAAAACTGAAGTTACACGTACTGGGCGCGGATTGCAGACTTCACCGAAAGCTATTTTCTAATTTCTCAAAAGAAAACACTAAAACATTTTGTGACACTTTTAAAGTAGAATTTATGAAGCTTAAGAGCTAATAACTTATATTTTAGTGTATTTAAAAAATCGACGTCGAACAGTTTTCCTTTGAATATTTTTCAGAAAAGTAGGGCAACTTTCTCTGTGTTATTTACTTAAGATATTTTAATCATCTTTAAGTCACCAAACAGATCAAATCTAGTTCTTTTAATAAGTACAAAGTCCACATCATATGTAGAAAATACAATTTGTTATATACATTTGAATGACGGAACGTTTCAAAAATCTAGCATGGTCGAATTCGATTTTCATGGAAAACGCATTTTAATTGCTTCGTTTTTATTAGTTGCAAGCTATAATAGTTTTTCATTAGAAAATATAAATATATATAGTATTTCGCTCTTTGGAGAGCAATTAAAGCATGAACCTTTTCAGATGGGCGTTTAAAGCGGCAAGCTTTGTTGTGGAGCAAAATACGTTTTACTCCGCTTAAGACACAAATGCACATATTTTTAAAGTTATATGTGAAAGTATTGCGGCGGCTCTCGTAAAGCTTCAATGTGTTCGCCGCTAGGGGCGGGACGGAGGTCTGCCAATGATGACCTCACGCGTGTACCTTGTCTTCTTGGGGGTCTTAACTTTGGTCGATATCCCGCTGTGCCGGCGCATGCGCACAACCGTCCGACCAAACAAACTTTCACGTCGTATGATATAGACCTCGGAACGTTCGTTGCTGGTTTGAAAAACGCGACTTTCAGTTACAGCGCGCTATACAGGCTCGTCTCAGACGGAATACGGATAAGGCGCAAGAACGGATTAAGACAGAAAGCGGGAAAATCACCAGAATCGTGGTAGAAGGCAGCGCGGGAACGACAATGACGCCACGTTGACAACGAATTGCGTAAGCACTAAGTTGGACTTTTTGACAAATTTCAACTCTCTCAAATTCAAACCTCATAAGACGGACGACATTAAACAGTTATACGACAACTGTATCAGAAAGCTGGAACCAAAACACGCGGCCGGTGTGGTCGATACGGCGTAATCTCCCACCTGTGTGTATTGGGTAGAGGCCAGTCATGAGAGCTCCTCTTGAAGGCGTGCAGAGGTGCTGCACATAGTAGTTGTTCAGGATAACTCCCGACGATGCCAAAACATCCAAGTTTGGGGTTGGTATCTGGGGATTTCCGCGGAAGCTTGCGTCCGCCCATCCCTGCGTGATTAATATTTTCAGAATATTCGAGGCTATTGACATTTCAACATATTGCGTATCTGGGTAAATCATGTCTCAGGCGCTTAACCACTGTTTGCTCTCGTAATACGCGCAGGCGGCGTGAGTTGATTTCAAAAATGTTGTCCTTGGTTGTTACCCATACGAAAATGGTCAATGGACGTCTATGAAAAATCATATGGTGAGCTATCACCTTATATGGCCCTCTGTGTTCAGCCATAAGAAACCATAAAACACGCTATAGCCACCTACAGAAAAATCTGTCTTCAAAGCTATAGAATCTAGACCATTCCGATTTCTATAGCTGTCTGTAGAACAACTTATGGCTACGCGGCTATAGACTCGCGACAGTTCGATATTCTTAAGCGAAGTATAAAAATATGTATATCCTTAATGTAATAAGTCCGCGACAATTGAACGTGCTTTAACCGGCTATAGAGTAATGTATGTCCCTAAATTTATAGACTCGCGACCATTGAATTTTCTTTAGCCAACCCTATAGCGTTTTATGTCACCAAAGCTATAAACCTTCGACCTCTGAATGGGCTTTAGCCGACAATAGAGTGGTGTATGTCCTTATATCTATAGAATTGCATCATTTAATTTTCTTTAGCCGACTATACCCTCCGATATTTCAATGTGCTTTAGCCGGCTGTACAGGTATGTATGCCTCTCAAGCTATAGACTCGCGACCCTTTAAATTTTCTTAGCGGGCTCAATGGTGTTTTATATTTCGTAAACTACAGGCACGCGACCTTTTTTTTTTTTTTTTTGTTCTTTTTTTTACTGTGGATGTAGGAAAGTAGAAGACAGTCATTCATGCGCTCGATCGGGGCGAGAAGTTTCTTTAGCCAGGTTAACGGGGCGTGCGTCGCCGCGGCTATACACCCGCGATCACAAAAGCGTCCTTAGCTGCCTACAGGACTATTGCAGTTTTGACGGCTGCTTTCACTGCGCATTGTTTTGTTTCGGCGTTGACGTCATCTCGATCTTCCGTTTTTTATCTTTACTTATCTGTCTTTTCCAGTGTATTTGGTAAGTATATGTATTTTGTAGCGCGCTTTATACTTTGTCCGTGTTCCTGTCATGTTTGTATTTCTTTCTGGCTGTTGTATTAAATATATTTAATGTTTTTCGTGTATATTTAGTCGTTCTCGACACGGCGTCAACGAACATAAAGCCACTCCTTACGCCACTACGGAGGTGAGCTCTACTCTTGTCACGACGGTCTATCGCTCTATAAAGTCGTCTATTGGACTCGAATAAATTCTCTAGAGGGCTGTTTCTAATGCCGGCGCACATGTCATCAGTGTAGGTAGAGCAACGACGTAGCAATCGCGACGGGAGAGCCGACTGCGCATCAACCTGGCCGGCCGCGCTCGCTCTGGGAAATGTAAGCTTGAGACTCTAAAGCAGCGTTAGCTTACTGAAGATGCACGACGCTACTTTGCCGTCGCGAATCCTTTGCCCTTCGAATGGTTGCGAAGCCGTTCCAGCACCCGGTGTACCCTACGCAGCGTCCTCCAACAACCGTTCGCACAGCATCGGAACCTTCCGTCTGCGAGCGCTGGCGGTCGGTCGTCGCGGGGATCATGTTCGCGGGGATCATGTTCGCGGGGATAATGTTCGCGGGGATCATGTTCACGGGGATCATGTTTGCGGGAGTTGATTTTCGCGGGAGTTCATGTTCGCGGTGTTTCATGTTCGCGGGGTTCATAAAATGCTCCCATTCAAGTCGCGACGATAAATCGTCGGCGGTCGCAGATGGCCAATAGGCTCCAGACAGGTTGCGATGCTGCGCGGGTGGTCTCTGACAGGCGCTGCTGTCTAGGGAACGCCGAGCACTGGAACATTTTCGCCGGCATTCACAGGACAAAGATTCTCAACGTCAAGCGGCGTCCTGCATCATCAGCAAGCTAACGCTGCTCGAGAGTCCCATGCTCACATTCTATCAGAGCGAACGCGGACAGCCAGATCGAGCCGCAGCTGTCTCTCGCTTCGCGGTTGCTGCGTCGTTGCTCTGACTGAACTCACGGATGAAAAACGTATAACGGCAAAAATTTCTTACACCATGCAATCAAAAATGCCACAACGATGCAAAGATTCCCAAAATTAAAGTTGAAAAATGCGAACCTAACAGTTGACACATAATTCGAAAGTGGTTGGTAAAACAGAATATATATATATATATATATATATATATATGTTTATTTATTTATTTATTTATTTATTTATTTACTTGTGGACATCCTGCACAAAAAGAGTATTCGCCATTAATTCTTCATTTCAAATTATTATGTGGGTTACACGGCGTAAAATATATCTTCAGACCTGCCCCGTTTTGGGTCACTTCTGGAAAGTGCAACTTTGGAAGTCCAAAAGCTGGCCTTCACGGAGCTGTCCTGGTCACAGAGTATACGCTATGTGTTCTTGATGCCAATCGTGTCTCCGGTTATGGTCACGTGACAACAGTCTCAAAGCAGGTGATAACGCTGAACACGGCACCACCTGCCTTAAGCCCAAGGCCTCATATACCATCCACTGCACTATCAACCTTGGGTCGAACTGTCAACAGGATATAAGTGACACATTCTCTCGTTGTGTTCCTTGTTGGTATGGCCCAGAAGATTAGTCTTTGTGATCGCACCCTCGTTTTGGCCTTGAAGAAGCTCTGCTTTTCAACTTCTCTGTTTTCTCTGTCTCCCTAAGCTGAAACCCTTGTAGAAGGTGCGCACTCGGCGGACCAATCAACCGTGGACTTTTCATCGCTTGACAACACTCTCTGTGCGTATGTAACGGAAGGAGCGTGATCACGTTTTTTGAAGGATGACGGATGAGCCGTTGCCAATCCCGGAATGCCTGCTTGCGGGCCTAGGGTGCCTACATGTTTCCGCTCCGCTTTAGGGTGGCACCAACTTCTTGTTACCCTTTCCCAGATCCCCTCCCACCGCCATTTTTTCCCACTTCTTAGTTTTGCTAAACGTACACAACGTTGAGTTTCTGTAGTCTCGACACACTGACAACTCTGTGAGGCCACTTCTGTTTAAGTTCATAAGAGAAGTCGGAAACTCAGCGGGATGGCGGTCGTGGTGGCAGTCGCTCTCTTATTTATTTAAGTCGCTCTCTTTATTCGGGTGTTTAATATTTCGTAGTTGCGAGCAGGAAGTGTGCGTTGCTTTTATCGAAAAGCGAGTTCCCGCGACAAAATGGAACGCCACAAACCGCCATTGAAAGCCGAAACCTCGCCGTCGGAACGAGAGCGGTGAGCATTCCCTAGCCCTAACGAGGACTAGCGGCGTAGTCCGAGCGCACGACCCGCGGGTGTGACAAAATGGTCGACGAAAACAGCGGAGGTTGCCATGGTAACGAGGTAGGCAACACTGGTTTGTCGGCAGCAGGTACCACAAACGTTGTCGCCATCCTAAACAGCGGAGCGGCGGAAACATGCAGGCACCCTATGCGGACCTAGTTTCGCGTGCCGTGCAGCCCGCGGGGCTGCTGTGGATTTCGCGTGTATGGTAAATGGTATCTCGATCGAAAAGTTCTACCCGTAAGTCGGCAACAAGCGATTTCTTCAAAGAAGCCCAAGACACTCTTGTGATGCGCTCAGTGTTTGCTTTGCCAAATGACAGCTTGTGCTACATCGTTGTGAATCTTTACGGATCCCTTCCTTCTCGGTTTTGTGTTTGAGTGGTTGTTCTGCAGTCCCCGTGTCGACATATATCTCGGATTACATCTTTCAAGTCCGGTATTTTCAACCTAAGTGCGCTGCAACCTACTCGGCGACAATTGACCGTTCTGTAGTGTCTATCTCCTTGCAGTGCCTATCTTCTGACAGCTGGGAGAATAATTTCTCCGAAATTCTACCACAGTCCCCTGCCATTAGCTGTCTGAAATCAAGTGAAAATTGCAGTTAGAATACTGACTTTCTTATTCTCCCTGCGTTTTGTGAAAGCACGTTTCATGGACACCTTTTTGGTGGATACACGTTTCCTGGACACACGTTTAGTCGACACTAACGGTTCGTCGACACTCGTTACGCGAATTGCACGCTGCAGGGACATTTCGTCGCGCCTGTATTCCTGAGGCGCGTGCTCACCGACCCAGCCCACCCGTTCACGCCACTTCTTGGCGAGTCTGCAGCAACCCATTACAAAAAACAAAAAAAAAACATATTTTGGATTGTTTATAAACATCACGTGTTGATGAAACGATCTGTCGATGAAACGTCGTTCGATGAACTGATTGCAGCGCCAATAAGTGGCTACTGGCAGTAGAATTTTGGGCGGGGGGGGGGGGATTTGACCGGCTGCCGGGAGAGTAGACACTACCCAAGAATGGCCTTTGAATCTCGTTTGCTTTGCAATATTCTCAGTTGTATAATAGCCTCAGTGGTACCTCTTCACATATTACAAATTGCTTAGTTTGTGCTTGTCTACAGAATCGGCTGTGTGTAGTAACCTACTAGGAGGTTCGAAAACAATTCCTAGTTTCTGTCTGCCTGTGCTTCTGCAAACACATGGGTGAGTGCATTTGTTTTTAGAGCGCAGCTCTTAGGGGCCCGTTTCCGGCTTGAGCGGCGTCGCCGTCGCCGTCGCCGTCGCCGTCGCCGTCGCCGTCGGCGTCGCCGTCGGCGTAACCGCGCGGTGCATCATGGGAAATGTCCCATAATGCACCGCGCGAGCCCCCCACCGGGGTCACGTGACTTCGTGGGGGGGCACGTGACCCCCCCCCCCCAAGGTCACGTGACCCCCCGAAGTCACGTGACTCCCCTGAGGTCACGTGACCCCCTCCTCGAGGTCACGTGACTCCCCTGAGGTCACGTGACCCCCTCCTCGAGGTCACGTGACCCCCCGAGGTCACGTGACCCCCGGCGATGTCGCGTGACCCCCCGATGACGTCATCGACACTGATGACGTCACCGGCATCCACATCGTCATTGTCATCATCACTGATGACGTCAACATCAGTGATGATGACGATGACGATGCGGATGCCGATGTGGATGCCGGTGACGTCATCAG